CATCCAACGGGCAATGGTACTGTTAATCGTGTCTTGCGACTTGTAGAATACCAACGGATTGTTATCCGTTACCCATCGGAATGCTTTCTGACTAAGGAGAAAATGTCGCCAACGCTCGAGGGCGTGGAAGAAGGCAAGAAGCTCCTTCTTCCGTGCGTCGTCGATCGAATGCACGGGAGGTACTTTCTTGCTAAAGTACTCGACCGGGTGCCAGTCCATGCCATCGTGCTGCTCAAGGACGGCCCCAATGCCATAGTCCGATGCATCGGTAATGACGCGCGTAGCTAGAAGCGGGTCGTAAATATGTAACACCTCGGCGGACAAGAGTGCCGCTTTGAGTGTCTCAAAAGAATGGCGCGCGTCGTCGTCGAAGTCAAAATGCCGCTCCTCGCTTTGTAACTTGCTTAGGTTGGCCGCGATCTTCGAGTAAACCTTGATGAAGCGCTGATAATAACCGGCCAAGCCGAGGAAGGATCGGACGTCCGTCGCATTCTTCGGCTCGAGCCACTCCTGGATGGCTTGAATCTTGTCCGCCAACAGACGAATGCCTTCGGGAGAGACAAAATGACCCAAGTATTCAAGCTCCTGCCAGACAAATTCGCATTTGTCGCGGTTAGCTTTGTACCGGGATGCCTGAAGAGTCTCTAGAACAAGGCGAAGGTGCTCGAGATGCTCCTCTAGAGTTCGGCTATCGACGAGGATGTCGTCTAAGTAGACCAAAACAAAGCGGTCCAACATAGCATAAAACTCGGTGGTCATGGCCGCCTGAAAGGTGGCTGGGGCATTGGTGAACAAAAAGTACTTGGCGCCGCCCAACCGCTCAAGCAAATCGTCAATGCGAGGTAGAGGCCCCGCGTTCTTGATGGTTTGCACGTTGAGGCGTCGGTAGTCAATGCAAAGTCGAAGATCCTTGTTCTTGTTCCGAACGAAGAGAACGGGCGCACCGTAAGGTGAGCTGCTAGGGCGGATCCAACCCTTGTCGAGTAGATCGTCGAGTTGCGCATGGAGAACCGTGAGCTCCTCCTTGGACATGCGATAAATGCATCCTTTCGGTGGCACGGCGCCAGCCTCAAGTATGATCTCGTGAGATTTACGAGCTCAGCCTCTGGGCCTGAATCTGGCCCTGGCCCTAGAAGCGAGTACCTGGCCACAAAACGGACAACAGTACACCCGTTAGAAAAACAGCAGCAAACAAATAAATAAAGACTATAAAAATAATCTAAAGCTGACGTTTTTCTGATGCAGGCCCAAGTAAAAATGCCACAGGGCCTTCAGGTTGCGGTGACGCGAATCGGGGGCCCTGTTCCAACCTCGGGTCCCGTGAGGGGCGCGTGTGTAGGCTTTCAGCATGTAACACGCCCCCCTCCTTATGAAGACGAGCCAAGGCGCGGGCGAAGCTGCCGATCCGATGGYGGAATGTAGTGAGGATGGCGAGGAGCTGGAGTGCTCTGMGTASTCTTCCCTTTGCTAAGATAGCGTGAGAGAACAGCGGGGGCTGTGGTCTGCAGTTCCGAACGCATCAGCCAACGGTCAGCCTTGTGGTTGCAGTAGAAAAAGTGAAGTAGAAACTCTGTTTCTTTGTTGCCATGGCGCCGGTCGGTGATGATGTAGCCGGCCTCCTGAAATCCGTCCATGGAAGDAGGGTCTTGCGTACGTCGACCGGGAAACTYGTCGGACTCCACTGAAACAAAAGGAGCGAGTTTGGAACAGTGGARCACCGTGTGGACAGGCAAGTTAGGTGGCACCGCGATGCGGAATGAGGGCCCCTCGGGATCATCACCAGCTGCAGAGAGAATGCGCCAAGRCCCCATCCACTTGGGAAGGAGCTTGCGAGAGATGTCTTGCTCAAGGCTGAACTCCGCTGCGGAGACCCAAACCAAATCGCTGGCGCGGAACGGGCAAGGAAGGCGATTGTGGTTGGCTTGACGGCTCATCCGTATTTGCGTCTTTGACATCTGATCCCGTGCCTTGACAACAAGCTCTTGCATACGACGAAGGAACGCAAGATGGTCGTCGCTCTCGGCTGTGCGTGGGAAAGTAGCGTCCAGCGGCGATGAGATGGGTGAACCATGCTCAAACTCGAACGGCGACATCCCGATAGCCGGGTGGATCGATGAGTTGTAAGCCAACTCAACGTCTGGCAARCGCTAAACCCAATCAASCTGGTCGGGACRGATGAGAGTSYGRAGAAGGACTTGAGCGGTCTGATGCGCCCTTTCYGTTTGACCATCGGTTTGYGGGYGGCGAGCCGAACTCGGCTTCAAAGATGAGCCCYATCGCTTGACGAGGGYGAYCCAAAAGTCGGAGAGAAASYGAGTGTCCCGGTCGCAAACGATCTCCTTGGGGTAGCCCTTGGAGCGAATCCAACCGGTGTATRAGACCTCGGCTAACTYCGGTGCCTTTGCGTGATAGCGGCAAGGCAAAAMCATGGCGTACTTGGTGAGGCRGTCGACGACCGTGAGGATCCCATCAACGCCGGTCTTGTGTTTCGGGAAGGGGCCGGTGATATCCATACCAATTGCTTCCCGTCGCCCAAGGGGCACTGGTAATGGGTGTACCTCGCCGAACGGATGATGGTTGCGTGACTTGCAACGCCGAAAGACTTCGCACGACTCACAATAGCGGGTGGCGTCCTTGAGAAGGTCGGGCCAATAGAATCGCTGGCAAAGTCGGCCAAGTGTACGGTTGACACCAAGATGTCCGGAGGCGGGCGCATCGTAAAACTTGCCAACAAGCCGTGTGCGCAAGTTTGAATCATTCGGCACACAAAGAAGATCGTTACCCCGTGAATGCACAAGTAAGTAGCCCTCCTGGATCCGATAATGCGAAGGCACTGGATTCGGAGAGGAGCAATTCGCGTACTTGTCGCGAAAGTGGGGGTCGGCTTGATAGCCGCGGATGAAGCTCTCCYGCAAGTCRTCGTCGATCTCGAAGSTAGRGTAGASTGCGGTGCAAAGATSCGGTCGCCGTGAGAGGGCGTCCGCAAAACGGTTTGACTTCCCGGGAATGTGATCGGGGAAAAAGTCAAACTGGTTGATGAAAGTCATCCAACGGGCAATGGTACTGTTAATCGTGTCTTGCGACTTGTAGAATACCAACAGATTGTTATCGGTTACCCATCGGAATGCTTTTCAACTAAGGAGGAAACGTTGCCAACGCTTAAGGGCGTGGAAGAAGGCAAGAAGCTCCTTCTTCCGTGCGTCGTCGATCGAATGCACGGGAGGTACTTTCTTGCTAAAGTATTCGACCGGGTGCCAGTCCGTGCCATCGTGCTGCTCAAGGACGGCCCCAATGCCATAGCCCGACGCATCGGTAGTGACGTGCGTAGCTAGAAGCGGGTCGTAAATATGTAACACCTCGGTTGACAAGAGTGCCGCTTTGAGTGTCTCAAAAGAATGGCGCGCGTCGTCGTCGAAGTCAAAAGGCCGCTCCTCGCTTTGTAACTTGCTTAGGTTGGCCGCGATCTTCGAGTAACCCTTGATGAAGCGCTGATAATAGCCGGCCAAGCCAAGGAAGGATCGGACGTCCGTCGCATTCTTCGGCTCGAGCCACTCCTGGATGGCTTGAATCTTGTCCGCCAACAGACGAATGCCTTCCGGAGAGACAAAATGACCCAAGTATTCAAGCTCCTGCCGGACAAATTCGCATTTGTCGCGGTTAGCTTTGTACCGGGCTGACCTAAGAGTCTCTAGAACACGGCGAAGGTGCTCGAGATGCTCCTCTAGAGTTTGGCTATAGACGAGGATGTCGTCTAAGTAGACCAAAACAAAGCGGTTCAACATAGCGTAAAACTCGGTGGTCATGGCCGCCTGAAAGGTGGTCGGGGCATTGGTGAGGCCAAAAGGCATAACTACCCACTCAAAACGCCCATATCGCGTCTTAAACGTGGTTTTGTACCGATCTTGCGGGCGGATGGAAATCTGATGGTAGCCCGACTTGAGGTCCAACTTCGAAAAGTACTTGGCACCGCCCAACCGCTCAAGCAAATCGTCAATGCGAGGTAGAGGCCCYGCGTTCTTGATGGTTTGCGCGTTGAGGCATCGGTAGTCAATGCAAAGTCGAAGATCCTTGTTCTTGTTCCGAACGAAGAGAACGGGCGCACCGTAAGGTGAGCTGCTAGGGCGGATCCAACCCTTGTCGAGTAGATCGTCGAGTTGCGCA